AGAGAATTTTAACATTTATTTATCTTTTCTTAGTTCTTGGCGGACACTACATCTTTGTATGTGGTGCTGAGGATCGAACCCGGGCCGCACGCACGCCAGGCGAGCGCGCTACCGCTTGAGCCACATCCCCAGCCCTATATTCCTTCTTTTGTTCCACTGGTCTGTTTGTCCATCCTTGTGCTAACTGCCTACTATCTTAATTACTGAAGCTTTACAAAAAGTCTTGATATACTGTAGTACTATACTGTAAGGCTATCCTTACTACTCCTGGCCTTCTGCATTCTTACATAACTCTTAGAATCACCTTTTCAATTTCCAAAAATCTTTTGCTAGGATTCTAATTGTGATTTCATTGGATCTATAGACCAATTTTAGGAGAACTTACAATTATGAAAATTTTGAATATTTGAATCTAAAACATGAAATATCTATTTATTTAGAGCTGTAATGATCCTCAATATTATTGTGAGTGTTCCATATAGAGGTGTTGCACATCTTTCATTGGATTTATTCCTAAACATTTGATGCTTCTTAGTGCAACTGTAAATAGTATCAGTAAACAGCATCATTAAAATATCAAATAGCATCATCTTAAAATTTCATTTTTCAATGGTTTGGTTTGGATACATACATGACTACTAGAATGACTTTATACCAGTAACCTACTTTACCTGTAGATTCCTTCAGATTTTCTACATGTACATTCGGATCTCCTGTGATTAATGACAACTTTATTTTTTCTCTTCAACCTTTATCCTTTTATCATTTATTTTTCTAGTTCTTTTTTCACTCGCCAGGACCTCAAATGCAACACTGAATAGAAGTGGTGATAGAGAGCATCCTTGTCATCTGATCTCAGAGGAAAAGCTTTTTACCATTAAGTAAGTTTTGCTATWAGGTTTATAAGACAGATTAAGGAGCTATCCCTTTATGTCTGATTTTATTCAGTTCTTTTTAAAAAATCATAAGTGTATATTACATTTTATAAAATGTTTTCCTATATATAAAACCTTATTACATATTTTTTCTTTTTAATTTTGTTAAAGTACCAAATACAGTCAGATACACTGACTGATCTGCCTCTTTATCTCCTTCTCCCTTGACTTTTCTTGCTAGGGAGAAACCCAGGCCCTTGTGCATGGCAGGCAACCACTCTACTATTGAGTCACACCTCCAGGCTCACTTTCTTTTTATTTATTGGTTATTTTTAGTTAGATATGACAGTAGAATTCATTTTTACATAATTATAAAAGCATGGAATGTATCTTGTTCTAATTTAGTCCTCARCATCTCTCCTTCCTCTCCTCTCACCCCACCCATTGCTCCCTTCCCTCTACTCTACTGATCTTTCTGAGGCTTACTTTCAATGTTAAGCCAATTCTGTATTTCTGTAAAGAAATAAACTCTTCTTAGTCTTAATGAATTTCTGTGTGTGAAATGAATCTTTTGTTAATCTTTTTTATTCCTAGTAATGCTTTATACTTTAAAGTAAAGCTTTATACTTTGATGTTTGCATGATAATAGCTTTTATTAAAGGTTTTATGTTTCTTTAATGTAAATATTGAAGTATTTAAATATTTACAATTATTGATATAAATTCACCATCTTACTACCTGTATTCTGTTTGTCCTATGTTTCCTTTTCTTTCCTTTCATGCATTCTTATGATTTATGTGTTATTCTATTTCATTCTAACAATTTGATAGATATATATTTTACACTACCAAAAATGTTTTTATAACAGGTCTTCTAATAAATTGTCTATTAAGATTTTACTTTGCTTCTGACAGACTAAAATAATAAATAAAATCTCTTTTCTCACTGGTGAGCATAATCCTGATAGCAAGCTTCCCAATCATCAGGACATCACATCCTGACAACACTACTAATACCTATCTACAAAGAGAAATAAGAATCTCAGAAAAATTGCTGCATATTTAGTCCCAACTTTTTAGTACTTCATGCAAAATGTTTTTTTGTCCACAATCTCAAATTATATTCTCAATTAGTTTCTCAATTGTCACACTRGTATTTGTACATTTAAGTTGCCATTTAAAATGACATACCTATAGTTCTTTTGGAGCAGCAGGGCTGAAACTAATAGTAACATGAAGACAATTTTCTAAAATATGTACAAGGCTTAAAATTTACAAAGTGGCTTTGAAGCTATTTAATCCAAGCAGGAATATATACATACATAAAAGAAAATGACTTACCAGGAGATGAAAGTGACTGAACTTGTAAAATGGTGGAATATAGTTTTAGAAAATATATATTTACAAATAGTAAAGAATGAAACAGAGCCTAACATTTGAAAAGCAGCAAGAGGCAACAAGAATAGAAAAAAAGTGTTCATTTATATTATTAATATAATTTAATAAATATTCTAATTAGACAGCATACAAAAGCTGTGCCTACACCTGGGTTAGCAAATTACAGACTGTGGGCCAAAGCCAGTCATATCCACTCATTCTTTAATGTCGCTTCTGTTGCAGAGCTAAGGGGCTGCAATAAGAGACTTTATAGTTCAAAACCTGAAATTATTTTATCTGTCCTTTTACAGAAAAGGTTTTGGGATCCTAGGCTTGTAGCAGACTTCACTTTAGTTTGCTCATGTGTCTGAGCACATCCTTTTCTTTCTTCATGTTATATTTTTTTAAAAAATATTTTTATTAGTTTTTGATGGACCTTTATTTTATTTTTTTATTTACAGGTGGTGCTGAGAATCAAACCCAGTGCCTCACACGTGCTAGGCAAGTGCTCTACCACTGAGCCACAACCCCAGCCCCTTGCTTCATGTTATCTTTGTGCATGCTAGGAAAAAAMCAAACTGAGAAGAGAGACATAAAGGATATCCATAGAGGAGATAAACACATYGTCTTTCACTGTCTGACCTAGCACAGCACTTTTTGGTGATACACGTATTTTAAGAATACCAATGATATGCTTTTTCATTCTGCATAAAAAGTATCTCTAAAATATTTATATCTCTTTTCTGGCACTTTTATTTATCTCTGATTACAGATGTAAACAGCCCATTGATGACTCAAACAGGAAGAAAGGAAAGGTTTCTTTTTGGAGCCCACTGATACTTACCTCCGGCACAGTGAATACATCCTGTTGGAGGCAGTGATTCGGAAATACTCCGGTTTTGATCGGGAGGAGCTGCCACTTATGGTTCCCAAACCTAAACGCTGATAGTCTCTGAAACAAGCTTTTTCCACCAACTGTTCCATTGTAGACTTCTCCGAAGCCTTCAAGGTACTTGTAGGGAGTTCACTATCATCTGAAACTATAATGGCAACAACAGGGTTTGAAGAAATAATTAACTCAAATTAAAAAATTCTAAATTTATTATTAAAAWTTTTTTTTTTTGTACTTGGGATTGAACCAGTGGTGCTTAACTGAGCCACATCTTCAGCCCTTTTTTGTATTTTATTTTGAGACAGGGTCTCACTGAGTTGCTTAGGGCCTCACTAAGTTGCTGAGGCTGGCTTTGAACTCACAATCCTCCTGCCTCAGCCTCCCAAATTGCTGCCACTGCACTCAGCTAGGATTCAAAACTTAATTTTGAAAAGAATCTTTAAATTAGAGCTTAGGTATTATGTATATCATAAATTAAACCATGTAACTTCTATGAGGAATTATAAATAAACATGAATTAAAATAGCAGTGTACAGTAAGGAAACRAATACTAGTAATTCAGTTAACTAGAAAATGTCAGAGGAATCATAGCATTTAAGTAATTTCTAAAAATAATAATTCTGAATTAATTGCCAGTATTTTTCTATTTTTAATCAATCTTCTCATTAATGCCAAACTGCAGTGATTTCTATATATGACTATAAAAATACCCAAATGTTGTCAGAAGTTAACTGTCATGTCAGTAAGTTTATCTTTAGTAGGAAAGATCATTTCCTAAATTCATCATTTGGGTTTCAGTTTACTTTTCAGAGCATAAATTTTATTAGAAATTTCTAGAGTAAGCAGAAGCTCACTAGAGGGAAGAACCTTTTTTTCCCCCTTAGAGTGGTATAAAGAAGTTATAGTTCTTTTCTGAAAATTTTTTTTTATTTTGTTGGATGATGTGGTGTACATGAAAAACTCCCTCACAGTTTTGCAATCATGGTTACAGACCTCTTTACGATTTTAGATGTGAAAGAATTTACTCAATAATCAAGTATGTTAAGGGAGGATTAAAAACAAAAGATATTCCGAACTGATACTGTATGTTCTAAAAAAAAAAAAAGAAAGAAAGAAAGAAAGAAAAGATAAAAATCCATGTTAATAACTATCCTACTTTACTTTTCTGTTTGTTTTTAAAGGGAGAGATGTCAAATAAAACTATTGAAGGTTATGGAAATATACTCAAAGTACCAGTGTGTAAAGAAAAGAGATGGCTTTCTTCCATTAAAATTAAAAAAAAAAAAAGATGAAAACCAACAGCTACCCCATGCAAAAATCAGACTTTGTGTTTCAATCTGTGAACTTTGCAATGGAAGATAATCAAGTGCTAGTTTTATGTTGACCTTTAATTTTCAGAGGAGCAAAGAGCATTACATAATTTGTTTTTTTCATGGAATCATTATCATAGAATAATACTTCTTTGTTTATTTGTTTGTTTTTTGAGACAGGGTCTTACTATATTGCCTAAGTTGACCTTGAACTCCTGGGCTGAACCATCCTCCTGTCTTGGTCTCCTCAATGTTTGGGACTATAGGTGCAAAACCATTGTGCCCAGTTAACAGAATGTTTTTTGTTCCATGAAATCATAAAATCTTTGAATTAGAAAAGTCATCAGSATGGGCAACAGTAATTTTTTATGGATTTACATATGACTGTGAGAAGGCCAGGGTTCCATCAAATGGTCACTTCAGTAAYRAAATAATGGATCTTTACATTGCCCYCAGAGGAAGAACATAAGCACACCTTCTCATATAGGAAGGGCATGCATTCAGAAACAAAACTACATAAGTTCTTTATCCCAGTAAATTGAAATGAAGACCTTTTAGCYAGAGCTCTCCCTAAAGACAAGGCTTCTTTTAAAATGTTGTCGTTACTGTTACAGGTAGTAGTTATTGTATAATCACTAAGTGGATCTAAAATTTTGATAGGAAAATCATGTAATGACATCCCTCCCACATTAGATCAGATTCTTTGTAGTATTAATTCCATAGTATATAGATATTGGGTTACACAGGAAAAAAAATCAGTCAATATGATATTTGGCTACTGGCTTTCTTCGGTTTTCCCAACTAAGCATTATATTGKCTACCTCAACTATATTTTTTAAAAATATTTTTTATCTATTTTATTTTTAAATTTTTATTTATATGTGGTGCTGAGGATCAAACCCAGGGCCTCGCATGTGCGAGGCAAGCGCTCTACCACTGAGTCCCAGCCCCAGCCTGTGAATTCTTTTAAATATTTAGCAGATATTTTTTATTATCACCTAAGAATTCCTTCATCTTAGGTCTCCCTTTTGATTAAGAGGACTCACAAATATTTTTATCAAAAGCCCAATCTTTAACTTTGAATATTCAATATCTTTACTTCCTTATTCTTATTATGTTAGAATAAAGTACAGTGGAGTACCCTGTACCCAAATTTTCTATGCAGTGGAGTTTCCTTCTAACTCCTTTTTATAAGACCCACATGAAAATGTCAATGTATAAATTTAGTAAAGAAGTATAATTTAATAAAATATTATCTAAATAACAGAATATGAGGAAAATGATTACATTTTTTTCAGTTCTGATAACTTGGTATTTTCAGTCTTCTCATAAGATCTAGATTTTTGTACATCAAAGGTTAAGTGCACGAGTTTCAAGATGGCGGACCAGAGGGAAGCAGCATCTGTGTTGCTCTGTGATCCAGATCTCACCTACTCGGAATACTGCATCTCTGAGAATGTTAGAGGACCCCTATACAGCTACTCTCTGCAGAAATCACGTTGTGACCCTGCGCAGGACTCTGAGGCCTCAGTATTCGAGCAGGACCCAAAGCCCGAAGTTCCTGTTCATGCAAGACTCAACGACTCGCCTCAGCAGAATCACCTATCAACACATCTGMAGATCACCAAGACTTCGCTCTGCTCCCACGAAGGTCACTCACCTGCTACCTACCCACAGTACAATGCCATCACCCAGCTCCCCCCAACCTCACCAGACACCCCAGTGCTGAAAGCAGACGATTGCCATCTTGGCTCATCATTCTGGCCATATTAGGTGGGGGCAGTTCCAAGATTGGATCTCCAGGGGCCAGTGGATTTTTGCATAAATCACCATGGCTGCGACTACCCGCGCAGAAATCAGAGCTCTGAGCTTGAGTAACTCGTCTCCAGACTCCGGACCCAAAGCCCACAGTTCTTAGCTCACAAGCAGCTAAGCAGAAACACCTATCAGCACCTCTGCAGAACTCCAGACTGTGCGCCACTCCCACACCGGTCACTCGGCTGCTACCTACCCACAGCACAAAGTCATGGCTCAGCTCCCCCTACATCACCAGACACCCCGGCAGTGGAAGCAGACCAACTCCATCTTGGAAAACCTTCCTCACCATTTTGTGGTGGGCATGGCTATCAGATCAGATCATCATTTGAGCAGGTTAAGTATTGTTGATATTAGTCTGTTAACATTGTCCTTTCCCACAAAGGAGAGATCTTGGAACCCTACAAGAGCATTACAAATCTATAAGGTAAAAACAATAACACACCAGATCCACAGAGCTGGAAAGGAAGACACATGAGCAACATGAAAAGACAAGGGAAGAAAGTACCRCAAACAAATCAAGACAACACATCATTAGAAGAATTGGAAGCTATCGCAGAAAAAAATGACAGAGAAAGATTTCAAAATATACATGGTTAAAATGTTTTGGGATCTCAAAGAAGACATAAGAGAASAAATACAGGCAGTGAAAGATCACTTTAACAATGAGCTATACCAACAAATCCAAGATGTAAAAGATCATCTCAACAGGGAGATAGAGGTTATACAAAAAACCCAAACAGAAATCCTTGAAATGAAAGAAATAATAAACCAAATTAAAAATGAAATGTATCACAGAGAAGACCACATAGAAGATAGGACATCAGACAATGAAGATCAAGTAAATAATCTTGAAAAGAACATAGACCCACACAGTGCAAATGATAAGAAACGACTTCCCTCCGTGCCTGCAAGTTAGG